GTTGATTATGTTTCCTTGCTTATAAATGGTTCCAAGTACTTAAAAGTTGCATGTTTCCTCAATATATTCTAAAAACATTTATCACTGATGAATACAGAAATATGTTTTGCTTACAAGCTTTCTTCTCATTTTCTTAAAACTCCATGTGATATTGGCTTAGCAATTTTCAGGGAATTACTGCTAGAATTCCCAGAATGGAGAAATAAACATTGAAAAACCAAAATCAATTTTCTCTTAAAAAAACAGCTAGTGCAAAAAAAAAAAAAAAACAGCTAGTGCAAAATCACTAAGTGAATCTGTCTGTGGACCACTTCTTTGGTTCATCAGGCTGGACACTGAAATCTGGTGGTGGCAGTTTGTCCTCTCAATAAAAACTTCCCTTTGCATGCAGGCAGTTTGAAGCTGAAAGAATACAATGGTACACTAACAGAGATGAAACAGCCCCTGTGAGAGCCAGAGAGGGTTTATCATAAAGAGGGAATATAGAGCACCTCTCTCAAAGAATGAGACATCTAAACTGGCTTTTTAAGATGCCCAGGATTTATCAAGATCAAAAGCATCAGAGGCAGAGAAAACAACCCAAACTAAGAATGAAGGTATGGGGACACCCACAGAAAGAACAGAGGGGCAGATAAAAGGGAGGAGGGGGAGATAGATGTGAGAAACCACCTTCTCCCACCCTTCCTCATCATGAAGGCAACACAGCACTCAAAGGATGTTTATTTAACCTCAAAAACATCTCCCCCATGACCACTCAGGGTCTACTGGGATATAAAACTATTCATAGGTTATGCTTTTTTAATTAGAAAAGCTCTGTATAGTGGGGATTTGCCTTCATCTCTTTATACCCCTCCTAGTGTTTCATACATAATGTCTACAGAATAAACACTGTGCTACTTAAATTGAATTAAGATATAACTACAATATAATTATAATTCATTTCCTTACACTTTTCTTGAACTTGAAGTTTTCTTGTACACATGACCTCATTTGCAAGTTGTTTTCTTGCCTCCTTTTCAAGTCTCAGCTCCTTGTCCTTCTCAGCCATCTTCTTTTCTTTCTCTTCCTCCAGTATTCTATCCAGTTCTTTCTCCTGAGCTTTTTCTTCCTCACGTCGCTGTGCTAAGTATTGATTATATATCTTCTGTTCTCTCATCATATCTTCCTATAGGACATAAAAATAACTACATTTGTAAAATAGTAGGTATGATAATGATACAAAGGATGAGTTTAAAAACAGAACCTCAAACATGATATTAAGAGTTTACTCCAAAATACTTGGGACATGTATGGGGGCACAGATGAAATAAGAATAGTCATTAGCAGATGTTGTTGAAGCTGGGTAGGTTGAAGCACATGGGAGTTCACTGTACCATTCTTTGTATCTGTTAGAATTGTTTTATGATAATTAATGAATTAAAATTTATATTCCAGGCCCTCCCTGGTGGTGCAGCGGGTTAAAGCACAGCACTAAGAAGCTTAAGCCACTTCAGCATGAGTTCGATTCCTGCCTGCCCTGGAGGAGATCCACATGGCGCGGCAGACCTCTCCTGACCCGCCCGCTGCTCCCCTCAGCAGTGTACTTCGTTGA